GACCAGTAAATATGACAGTGATCATGGATATTCTGTAATTGTTCTGATTCTCTAAAAAAGACCTCAAAAGGGAGGGAAGCTGTAGCAATTTGTCCTTTCCATTCAAAGCCAAATTTATGAGACAAATATGAACAGGCCCCAACTCTCAGTAGCATATTTAGCTATGGGCATACCCTCCACTTATGAGTGAACCCTCTCTATGATCCAATCACTTCTGAAAGCTTCACTCTGAACACATGAGACTTTGGGGGGACATTATACACCTAAAGAATAGCATTTTCCCATGATGTCCGAAAGATACATGTCCATCTCTTTATATAAAATACATTAATTCATTTCTAAAGGTTGCCAAAGATTTAACAGCTTGACCACGGCTGAAAATTCCAACTCTGAAGTCTCCTCTGAGACTTGCAATGCAAGTCCTGATCTGTGAATCCCTGTAAGTCACAAAGACATTTAAACACTGCTTATGTACAATAGCACAGGGAATCGTTCTTTCTCCAGAGAAAAGAAATAGGGGGATAAAAAAGAATCTGACCAAGGCTAGACTGAAACCCACCAGTGCAAACATTAGATCCTGTACCTTCCTGTCCAATGCCTGGGGCAAGTTATGGCAAGATGTGAACTGGAATGTGTTCCACAGCATTGGTAGTTGCAATCCTCATGACCTTTCGCTTGGAGTTGCTCTGAATTGACTGCAGTTTTCCCTATTCGATGTTCTATGTTCCTGGTTTTTCCAAAACTTCTCAGGGTCTCCACTATATTTTCAACTTTACCATTGCCACTTGATTCAGTGTGTGCTTAGAAGCACACTGCTGGGTCTCCCAAGCCTCCTTCTAAAATCAGAGTGGAAACTTACCTGGTTCCATAACTCTTGAATTCTGCATGCTTGCCAAAACTGCACTATGTGGATGACAACAAGGTCTGCTGCAAGTTTAAGCAGTAGTTAGGCCACTTGGATCATGGCTACAGAGGCCTCTGAGCACTGGAATGGCTGAGCAATGTGAAATAAATCCTGGTGAACCAATTCCCTAGGTGGCCCTTACCAAGCAGGGGAATTTTAAATAGAAGATAAGAAAAAAAAAAAAAGAAGAGAGATATACCACTGACTGAAAAATTCCCATTCAAAAGAACTACAAAAATTGAGATATATAGAAATAAACTTACCCAAGGAAGTAAAAGAGCTGTATAATGAAAAATAGAAAGCACTAGTGATAGAAATAAAAAGAAACAAAAATGGAAAAACCTCTCATGAATATGGATTAGAAAAATATTGTTAAAATCTTCCCACCACCTAAAGTAATCTACAGATTGTATGCAATTTCCATATGACATTGCAACTACCTATGCTATTCAGCAAAGTACAAGAAAAAATCCTGAAATGCATGTGACATTATCAATTGCTTTTAATAAGCAAAACAGTTTTGAACAAAAAGAATAGAATGAGAGACTTCATAATACCCAATTTCAAGATATACTGCCGAGCTACAGTATTTAAAATAGCCTGATACTGGCCTAAAAGGAGAATCACAGACTGATAGAAAGAATAGAAATCCCACCTTGCATGTATAGCCAACTTACTTCCTATAGAGGTGCTCAAAAACCTACAGTAGAGAGATGACCTTCTCTTCAACAATGGTACTTAGAAAATTGGATATCCATATGCAAAAGACTGAAAAGACTTGATCCTATCTCACTGTTTAGAAAATTCAACTCAAAATGGATCAAAATCTAAATAAATTCTTATATTGATATATAAACTTCTCCCCACAGCATACTATTTAAATATGTTCTGAAATTTTTGTCCAAGCATGTTTTTGCTTCTCATTATTACCTATCCAGAGTAAGTTTTAGAAGGCAAATGTAAATACATAACATT